AGAGTATTTCATTCTTTATAGTTTCCTCCTCTGAGAAAATGAGTGCAGCGTGCAACCTCTGTATAAAGAATTTTATAGCGAAAATGCTTTACGATCTGATATTGTTTGAGAAGATAAAAACGTCGGCTTTAAATTAACGAATTGAGTTAACGTATTATTGAATGCAAATCGATATTCAATATTGGAAGCGAGTTTATAATTTCGTGAAATTTTCGTTCGGGAAACGGAACGTTTCCACGGGTTCTTTTTTGTAGCGAGCGCCGTTCAACCGAGACGCGAATGCATTTACTGTTTCGTTTCGTCATCGACAATTAACGCTATCGTAAAGGTAGCGGCATATCACGACGTTATCGTAGCCTTATACTTACGAATCGTCGCGAGCAATAACGTGTTTGCACCTCGATAGCGGCATAAAAACGTATAGCTGACAATGATTAAAACAGCGTAGTTGAACGCGGAAATGTACAACCGGCGAGTATTATTTTCCTCGTACTCCTTTCTATTACCTTCCAATAATTTGCAACACAAATGAACACGGAGATAACGCCGATTATCTTCTCCCCTTGAAATAAATTAATGGCGGGGTATTCCGGCGACGCGGTTCGTACCTATTGATATTAATGCGATAACGATGAGTCGGTTAAAAATAGATATAGAAAGCTGACGGGCAGGAAAATCCACGAAATTTGCTAGTATCAGCGCGTCCCGATTCCGGCCTCGAAATTTACACTAGTTAAATCGATGCACCACGTAACCCGTTGCCACGTTCGTGAATGCGCCGATAAGATTGTTCAAGGTGGCGCGAAGTTCACTCGATTAGAACCGACTAAAAGGAATCTTAAAAACTGTTTCTGATAGACGCGTGGAATTCCCAAACAACTTTATTACATCATCCGGGTTGCAATTTTTAATTCTCCACAATTAACCGATTCTGGCATAATTATTATACGCGAGCTAATTGGTTTGAGGAAGCGAGTGTCGCCGTTTTCTACGAATTAATACAAATTAAAAACGGTGGGTTGCATAATAAATACCATGCGGTTTATGCAACAGTCAAACCTTGATCCATCTTAGAACAACGGAGACAGATAATAGTTGCAATATGGCACACTGAACTATGGCACCGCGAGTTTAAACGAAACTGGGTATAATCGGAAACCGAATGCATCTGCGAATAGCAAACGAAATCGCACGTGAACAGATTTGCACGGATTGTTTAGCACGTTAATCGCAACCACAAAGTCAACTGTAAATCAAACGAAATTCAAGGTCCTATTCTCCGCGTTCCTTACTACTTTCGTAACAGGGAGGAATAATTAGGAATAAGAGAATATATCGCACGTACACGGAAGTCCATTGACCTCCGATCACGATAGTTATTCGAATCTGACGATCTCAAGCGGTTTCACAATGCGCTGATTATCAAGTCTTCACTGATAAATATTCCACACTCAATTTGCCACAGTTTTGTCACTGTTCCCGTTCTGGTTTCCACGAGTCACAATCCGAACAATGTTATACATGAAGATCCGTTCGACACAATAAAATCCATTCGCGGCTGGTTTATAGTAAACAAAGCAATTAAAAAACAGATGTCTGGGATCACCGCTGGCCGATTGGGAACGCGCCGGTCTTATCACCGTGATAACGTAATCCAGTGCACGTATTTGTCCCCAAAAATTCACGATAAAAGATCCGTTTAGATCCGAACATGTAGTCGCGGTGTTCACGAGTTAATCGCGAGTGGGAATGGCTCGATCTTCGGTAACGATGATACGATCAAGACGATCCACCGGTTTTATCGGTCTTGGGTGATCTCGCAACACGAGCGCGAAAATCGTGCACCGCGCTTTGCCGAGAAATTAAGAAGACAGGTGAGACGAGGTGAGTAAACGTCTCGGGACTTAGTGGGGAGAGACCGTGGCAGGAAGGAGACCGACTGACATTTGATGAAACGGTGGAACCGATCGGGAAAGAAACCGCGCCAATCGGTGAAGGAAAAATGTGGCATATCAGTGGTTCTCAATTCTTCATTCGTCTATTAAATGTCATGCGATTTTCCACGGTTGTTCAACGGAAATCGTTAACTAAAAACTTTTGCTATTTTCGCAAATCATTGAATTCTGAATATTTAAGTACGTAATACGAAGTAAGAAATGTGTACGTATAATAAATACATTCACAATCTAATTAGTGATTCTGTTAATAAAGATATAAAATGTATGTGAGGTACACGTAGAATTCAGCTGTTTTGTCTTCAGACGTTGAAACGTAAGATTTCGTTATTTGTGTGGCTTCCGTGTCAAGAACGTCGAAGTCGTCGAGGTGAAACACCTCGGTAAGAATAAATTAACAAAAGTTGGATGACGTTTTTGTAGGTAGCATCGCTCTTGTGGAAATCGATCCAGGAAGCTTGTACAAGCTATACATAGCGCATCGCAGTATGTAGCACTGGAACACGTTAATGTCCGCGGGGAACGTTCGCGGATATCAGCAACGTTGTTATAAAAAGTTTCTGGAAACTAGCCTGGCTATAAAACGAGCGTAAAGCACATGTTGCCGCTTTTATTGATGCAGGGAGAGGAAAACCTAATGTCGCGTTCGATATTTGGTAGCTGCAAAATGAGTTCTGTCGAATATAACGAGACTCGCCTTTTTTACTGCAGCCACGTTTTATGGCTCTATGAGATATAAGTATTGATATAGCACGGTAGCAACATGTTGCTTGGAGGATGTTCAACGATGTCCGAGCATCATTTCCCGTTGATTTATTTCCTTGTTCCGTTTAAATAACGTGGTCCCGTTCGTATGAAGCCAGATCCTTTTACTTTTTAACACTTCCTCGCTGAGAGTTAAGTACTTAGTCGATATTGAATCTCCGTCATGACTCCTGAGTGCTTATCGGCACGTTGACTATTGCAGGCCACTCGAACATTTTACGAGTGTCGATGGAACCGTATGTAGATACACATGACGTCAAAATTCAATTTAATTTCATAAGACTCGTGTTAAAAATTCAGTCGGTTGGTAAACTTCCGTATACGCGTCCTCCCGCACACGTGCGAAAATGTCGATGCGAATTGTCTATTTCTAGGTCGTGAAAGTAAGCAGATCGATAAGGTGTTCTCTAAAGGAGACTGTGAACTCGTGCACGTCCTTTACCACAGTAGAACGTAAAATTCGCCCTGCCATTTCCGGCTTGTTACAGAGGCCGAAAGCGAAAACTCGCTTTGTGTGCTATTTCTTTGAGACGCCAAATCGGGCGAGCGAATCGCGCCGTCTATTACTATAGGCAAGTTTCATCGTTTTCCTTGACATCCTTAGCTGGTTAAGGACTCGTTCAGGTGTCCGACGAGGAGTCCGAGACCGCACGAGTCGCCGGAACGTTCGCGGGAATCGATAAAACGTTTAACCCAAATGTATTCCCTTTTCCGTTCATGCTGATTTCGCATTGCCGTTGTGCTCTCTATCTTTCTCGTAGATAAACTGCTCGCCGATGGTTCGAGTGTTCCCACGAATTCATAAATTGAATAGAAAAGAGCAATTCGCAGCGTCGAGTCGAGCGAATTCAAATATCTGCAGATCGTTGCTTCAGATCCAACACTGCCAAATGGGCAACGATAAGAAAAGTTTCTGCCCGGCCTTCAAATGTCGCGTTAAAATTGGAAAAGGCATAAATTGGTAGCTTTGTACCGAGTTGTTTGAATGGTGGTTGAAGGAACTGAGGTACTGGGGCGTGACTGAATGAAGAACATATTTATTAAGTCAACAACCCGTTTTAGAAGTCGCGGGATGAAATTAAATCCTGTGTACGATATTTGCGGTGCGTGGAGGAATACTAATTGGTGAACCAATGCTGTTGTGTAGGGAACGCTCGGTAATTAAGGACATAATTAGGAAAACTAGTCGTGTAAGATGAGTACTCACCAACGGCGAACAATGTTCAATTCCCGATATCTGTAGAACCTCCGGTGTAGATCAGCCGATGTAATACATCGCTGAATGATGGTAGTTGAATGGTCTGCGAAGATCTGATTAACAGAAAACAAAAATGTTCTATAAATATAAAATAAAACGTATACCAAAAAATATATGTGTGAGGATAGAACAAAAATCTTCCTTAGGGGAAAAAGCATCGCTTGCTAATAAAAGGAATTAAACGAAATGGGATACACGGAAGTAATCGTACACCGAGAAACTATCATTACATTTGTAATCGATATAGAAACATACGTAATCAATTAGAAGTATAATTGATGGCTAGTGTCTAGTTGGGCATTTGCTCGTAAACCTCTGATGTTTTTGAGAAGACTAGCCGACCGCGTGGCACGATACCTGACACGGGGTGGTACATTCATCCCCACCAACTATATAAATTGTCTAATTCGCCCCTCTACCTTCGTGGTAACCAAATTCAACCCCAAACCGACCCGTCGCCCGATCTCAATTCGAATTCGCGTTGGCCAATTATACAGTATACTTATAAGCGAACACGTGCAATCAGTACAGTAAAAAATTCTGATAAATAACCTATTACTCTTATAAACTTATATAGAAATAAGAAATGAACTTTAATTTGAGATAAGATTAAATCGAAGTGCACGCGCCATTCTTCAATCGCACACTCAATCCTAACTTGTTTTTCATACTTCTGTATCTTAGTTTGCAATTAGAACTTTTAATTTCGAATTATTCAAATAATACAAAAAGAATACCGTGGCCCTAGCGCAATCTGTGGAGACCTTCACGATATTTAACTTCTAAACATTAAATCGCATATATAACACTTCGGTAAGATTAAAAATGAATTCACACATTCGAATAATGGTATAAATATCCCATAAAATCATTATTACCTGACACAAAAGGCGAAAACTGCGAACAGGAACGCGCGGCCGTATTTCCCGGCTATGAACATTAAACCCGATTTTCATGTCGACATAAACTGAACGAGAAATGAGGGCGCTGTGCATCTTCTTCGTCTTGAAAAGGATGCTTTATATACGTTGTGACACCTCGCGGTCAACGTTAAGGGAGATGTAATATTTTCCGGTAAAGTAGTTTGGCAGTTACTACAGAGATTAAGGGAGTAAAAGAGTACGTAGAAAATGTAAATTTACATCAGGTGAATCAATCACGCTAATCTGCAATTTGGATCGCTGCTTCGAGCGCGATTAAATTCTCGCGAGTCCGTTTGATATAACCATCGGTGTGCGTTAGATTAGTAGCATATATTGCGATAGAGCGCTTCGACGTGTATCAAAACATTGATCGGTGCAGTGAAAGTGATCAAAATTAACAGAATTTAATAATATTTCGACAATGTAGCCTGATATATTATATTCGGTAGTAATTTGAGTTCGCATTGCTAACCAATGCTTCTGTTACACACGTACGGGAAAAAGTGTGTTGATTCGTGGTTATTGTTCCTCCTCTGGGGCATTAATAGGTAAAAGAAAATGAGCGGAGATATGTTCGAAGGGAAAGATTACCCAACTCAATGGGCACTCAATCCTTCCGCTTACCAAAACATGAGCAATGATCAAGGTAAATAGTCCATGAAATATTTCGCCATTCACTACATGTGCAGTTCATGCCTTGCCACCATTGTACAACATTTAATTGTCATGCAACATTCTTGGCTATCATTCAGTTGACTGGGCTGCATTAGCTCAGCAATGGATCAAAATGAAAGAGACTGTAGTACCACCAGCACCACCTCCACCTAGTGTTAACCCCATATGCTCTGGGACTGATAGTGGAGAGGCCCCAATGGATATGGATACAAAGGAAGATGATGTACCGCCTGCCCCACCTGCTCCAACAATCAGTGGATCAGGTAATGAAAACCAATTGAATTAATAGAATTACTTTTAAATTAATAGGTACTTGTATAATGTAGTCGAAGATTCCATTGTAAAGTACGATTAATTATGTTTTAATAGAAATTTAGTTTTACTCTCTATTACCCTCTTCGATAAAAATAATAAAGAATTATGAAGATTGATATTTATATTTATTTTTTTAATTTTGATTTAAGATTATTTAAATCAGGCTTTAAATCATGATTGTAACATTGCTTTATAATATTTTGTTTAAAACCAGCTGAAGCTTGGAGTCAGTGGAATCAGTGGGGCCATTGGAACGCCACAGGTTCTGGTACAGGTACTTGGGAATGGACTGGTGTACCTCCTCCTGGTGTTTCAATAGGTTCTGATGGGAAACCTATGGGGATTCCTACAGTACCTGTTATTCCACCTGCTCCAACTATTTCGACAACAACAGAATTTAGTGTGCCACCACCAGCAGCACCATCATTATATTCTTATAATTCAGTACCTCCAACACAACCTTATAGTCAGGTTAAAATTGTATTTCTAATATAATATAGAGCACCGAAACGTGTGCCTACAATACCCAGCTGTACTTAGACTTAGCAAATCAGAACCATGTATAGAATGTTTTTGAACAAGTATTGTAACATTGAAAAGAGAAAGTACTGTTTGATATATCGTAGTTTTAATTGCATTTTCAATTCATTTGAGTTTTATTTACTAAAAGCACCTTACAGCACACTGAATCAGATTTGAAATTATGGATGATAATTGTTTCATATGTAGGTGACTAGCTATTGGTCCGGAGAACCACCGGCTACGATACCTCCTCAACCACCCCCTTTTATGAAAGGAGTCAGACATGCGAATCGAACGCCGCATATGAGGCCTATGGACCCTGTAAGGTGTCGAGAGGATAGAGAGAAAACACCTGAAGAAGATACGACCACAACTATAGGTAAGAAAAGAACTCGTTCTTGATCTTTCGGTAATATCGTACGAGTGTGTTTTACGTTCAGACGCTGCGAAGCGTAGACAGTTGCCAGCGTGGATTAGAGAAGGTTTAGAAAAAATGGAGAAAGAGAAACAGAAAGCTGTCGAGAGGGAGAGACAAGAGATACTGAGGAAACAGGAATTAGAAGCTCGGAAGCAAGCCGAAGACGAGGCTCGGGCTGTATTGAATCCTAGTAAAAGCAAATTTGTGCGTATCTAAATTGTTGGCTGTTTTACAAGCAGAAGAACGTCGTTACACAATATTTCGTTTTCTTCCTTGAAACGCAGGATTCTGATTCCGAGAAAGAAGCGGAACAGGATCCGGAGGAAGGTGTACGTAATCAGCAAGTGACTGAGAAAACGTTCGAACGGACTCCGGATATTCTTCTTCGTCCCCGGAAATCACGATTTCGCGATGCAGACTCGCCGGATGCTCATACGTACACAGATAGAAGTCCGACAACATCTAATACAATTATAGCAACTCCGAAGCGAACGCGGGAGGAGATGCTACAAGACGTGGTGAATATCTCAGTCAGTCGATTCGAGTCGACAGTCGTTGAATTTGTTGTACAACTCATTTTGGCGCAGATGTTGAAGGTACGAAGGTCGCTGACGGAAATTCTACTGGAGGTAACAAACGAGGAAATCGGTTCTATATGCAGAGAGGTTTGGAGCCGCGCACGTGCCAAAGGTACCCCAGATACACACGATACAACTAACAAATTGATATATTTCATACTTTCGCTCACCAGTGCACAGAATCCGATTCTAATGAGTCTTGTGCAGTGTTGCGGTGAATTTTATTTGCCCACTTGTGTATATAAGCTTTTAAAAACATTAAACAGAGATTATTCAATTCATAGAGTTAATTATTCGATGATTTCAGGGTATCCTACTTTATTTTTTCCAGGACTTTTGTATACACGTACTATAAGTGATACTTATACTTTATCATTTTTTCTTTTTTTCTTAAACTACTTCGCCCGTTTTCGGTTTCGATCCGATCGTGTTTTTATTACTTGCTGACAGTCTGTATTAATAAAGAGAATAAATCGTTCACGTTGGAGAATAACGAGAAATGTTAAACAATTATCTGATAAGACATTTTTTTTAAATTCACGTTTGGTATATACGATATTATATAGTATATGCCAGAGGCAAGTGAAAAGGGCAAATACAACATTTTGAGATTTCCGCATCTGTTTTTTGTTCCATTTGTTCCAAGACGTTGTTTCGCATTGCTGTTGTGAAAACTGATTCTTGTATTTTGCTTTGAAATTCTACCGTATCTCTTACACCGATTATTATTGTAGTTAGTACGTAATTTTTGTGATTACGTTCGTATTTATTATTCACTGATATCTTGTTATACCTTTACGGCTCTGTACGTGAAACATTGTGTTGTTCTACTAACGTCACGTCTAAAGCAGTTTCAGTTTCATATATCTAAAGGAATTGTGTTTAAAGAGATTTCTTAAGGTATATAAGGATTGAAGGGACAGGACCTCCTTGTAATGTCGGTGATCACAGTACCATTTAATTTTGGGGGGTATCCTGATGGTAGCACTTAGCCAATGGTACTAAATGCGTGTGTATTGTAAGTCCCTGCAGGAGAGATCCCCGTCGCATCCCTCAACAACATGGCCCCTCTTGCTCAGATCACTCGTAAACTTGGTAAGTCCCTAACGCCTTTTGTAATGTACAATGCACGGTCATCCTAGGAACCTGCCGTGCAAAAATGCGTCCGTGCACTGTACCGCTCTCTTTCTCTGTAGCCATGCTCGCTTAATAAGTTCTCGTGATACGAAGATGTCTTTCAGGACATTTTTCAAACAATAGCGGCAGCATTTTAGTGGTCGAGCGTATGTTTTTATTTTCAAAAAAGACGCACGGCGGATTTGGGGATAATCAAGGATAATAAACTGTCTGTTTCGTCTAGGTCTGGGCATCTATGGCGACAGCAACAGCGAATCGGAGGAGGAGCAGAACGAACACGTCCAGACTCAAAACAATGATAGTGACGACGAGCTCATTGTATGTTCTTCTTTTCTACATTATTGAAAATTGGAATATTGAATGAATTTAGAAAAAAAATCGTATTGTTCGTTATAGGAAATGGTCAAACGGCGTCAACAAGCATTCAAAAAGACGGAGGAGGAAATCGAGGCGCGCCTGGCCGAAGAAGATGAGAGAGAAGATCAACGTTACGAGGAGCAGTATAATAAGCAACAGGAAAATCATACTGGTAATACAAGCTGCAGGGATTCAGGTATGTTTCGAAATATAATAAAATTATCGTCGTCATTAAATCATTAAGCGTAACTCCGTAACATCACTACCTTTAGTTGATGAAAAAGAAACGGTAAATAATCAAAGAGAAGCTTCTGAAACTTTATCGAGCGGCGGACAAAGTCCACAGCAACAAGTACCGCCGCCTGATACGGCAAAGACCAATACTCCATCGGGCTCGGCCGATTCCGAATCTAGCAGTTCCGAGTCGTCGAGCTCTGACTCGAGTCGTAACTCGTTGAAGAAGAAACGATCGAGCAAGGTTCGTGATCGTGAATATCGAAAGAGGAAGTCGAAGAGTAGAAGTAAATCGAGAGGCAGAAAGTCATCTCGATCACGTTCGTCCGAGCGCGGCCGCAAACGCAAGTCCAGGTCTAGATCGATAAAGTCCCGTAAAGAATATCGTTCAAGGTCTTCGAGCAATTATAGGTCCAGTAAGAAGCACAGATCGCGATCGAGAAACCGCAAGCGACGCAGATCCCGCTCAAGGAGCCGTAGATCTAGATCCAGCACGGCAACCAGGAAATGGTCACGATCACCACATTCCAGGGGAAAGAGGAAATCGCGTTCTCATTCACGTGGCAGGAGAAGAAGCCGGTCTTATTCAACAAGACGTAGCAAATCCCGTGGCAGAGAAAAACGGAGGACGTCCAGATCCCGATCCCGATCTAGGGATCGTAGAGACAGATCGCGTACGCGCTCGAAACGCTCGCAATCTTACGTTTCCAGGAGCAAGAGGAGGACGCGATCTAGATCTAGGGATCATAGAAAATCGCGATCGAGATCAAGGCAGTCGAATCACCGGGACGGTAAGAAATCGTCATCGCATCGGTACAGGAATTGAACCCTGACCAACTTCTAGCCAAGGTTGTATATACATATTCATAATTAAATTACTTTTCGAGTATGCTTCGTACGGAAATAATAAAAGAATGAAAACGATACAGAGGAAGATTAAAAAAAGAAGGAAAGTATACCCTTTTGTTGTCCATATACATCAGGTAATATTAACGTACTACTATCGAATGCGAAGGTTTTCACTTGCGATTGTACATTTGACATTTTTGCACGTGCGCCCGGGTTTTCAATTATCGGATTATTGTCACTTTTCCTATTTCATTAGGTCCGTTTGAGGAATCTATTATTACCTCCAATTGTATAGTATCCTAAGAGTTTGTGTAATTATTTTCATTTAATAGTCGACAGATTTTTAACTTCTGCGTATACGAAAGTCAACTATTTTCCCTTTTATTAGATCTATTTCGAACACACATGATTCACTTTTCTGTAGAATAACATATGCGTCAACGGATTCTTGCATTCAGGATTTCCGATTTACCATTATTTTGTAACCATGTATCTATTTTGTACGAAGATAAAATAGCATGCATTTCGCAATGGTCGCTCAGAATAACACGAAGTTCCGACTGTATTTTCTCGTCGCTGTTAATTTTCTCACAGACGTTCGATTGCGTCGTACTAATCAGTGAACGCTACTAACGACAAAACAAGATAGTTTCATTACAACCGATCATTTGACGAAGTAAGATTTCCAGTCGTTTAATTTTCATCCTTGATTTAGAATCATCAGTCCTTCTTTTATGTATCGGATGATAATCGTCGCATCGAATCAGTAAAACGAAAAAGAAATTGTTATAATTCTCAACAAATCGCGATGCATCATTAACAAAAATAATTATACACAGATACTTGCAAGACTTATCTGTTGGTTCAGTTACTTCATGTATTAAAGATTTACGTTTCGCCGTAAGTCATGATTTCAATGTATTGTAAGTACGGGCCTTACATACATATTGCTATGACAAGTGTAACGAGTCATTTTTAATTGAGATGAATAAATAAAAAATAAGAAATATACATTAACGAAACATGTAGACTTACATAGGTCTTACGGTTCTCTTGATTTCTCTCCTTACCTTCAGCACAATCGGAATAATCAGGTACGATGGGGATGTCGGTTCTGTTGCATTATTATAATTTATTTCATATAAACATTTGATACAGTTTTAAAATTTCATTTCGTAGAGTTTATCATTTAGTAGTTTAGTGTTTAATAAGTAATTAGATTCTACGGAATACATCGGAGATAAGTGGATGGAGTGATCGAGGAGAGTCAAAGTTTGGTTTGGCATGATTATCGTGTGTTCACTTTGATACATTTCGGGTATATAAAAGAACATCTGCAGGACAGAATGCAACGCGTTCTTTTAATAGGAGGAGTTCGGAGAGATGTGGATGTGTTTCGAAAAAAAATCGGGCTCGCGATATTCTCTTCTCTTAATTCGTTCACGCCTAGAGATGGTCGAGTTAAATTTACAAGTAGTGAGATACAAGTATCTGCGAAGTGCGAATTGTCTCTCTACCATTGAGCAATGTTAGAATTCTTCAAATATTGGATATGTTATTTATGATATTACAGCTTCCCTTAATGCTTTCGTTACGATAATTTTAATCCTTAGATCTCTTTTCAGAAAGGGGAGATCATATTTATTTTACATTTCCTCCTCTCGGTATGCTCGAATAGTTTTATAATTCTCTTTTTTACATCGTAAGAGATCAGCAAAGATATTGGTCTCACTGGGTCTGATTAGTCCTCTCGATCGAAACAGGCACTCGGTGACATTATGTTGATCGCGACCGAACACTTTTACAATGATTAGCATTCGATCTAAAATAGGAAACACGCGACGATAAAATTGTCCAGTATCTATATATGTAAAATCCAACTCGATTAGGGCCACGATTGAATTGCATGTTGTCTGCAGATACCGGTCGCTATAAAATAAGGTACGTATTTTGATCTATAGTGGATAGCTATTGGGAGAATCGTCTATATCGACTAAAATCTTATCTCTCTATTCGTTAGAAGATACCTTATTTTAAATATACAGTAAATATACATGTACGCTTAAACTGTCAGAATATTCTCACCGCTGTGGTCAAAGAAAAAGGGCTGGCAGGCGTCGACCCTCAAACTGGACACTTCCCTTGGACGATCCTCGCGGATCTCGATAAATATTGAGAGGGTGGAAATTTTTTTTTATTTTTTTCTGGAGTCTTAAAGAATAGTATTATAACGGTGGTCGCTTCAATTTGAGGGTTGACGATTGATTACGGGATTGTTAACGCGGGTTTATGTATAGATACATGTGTACAGTGGAGTGGTAATTCGTTTACCAAGCAAGATTGTCGGCAGGGATTGAGTCGCTAGTGAGAACATTGTCACAATTTAAGCATAGTAGATATATCAATAATTCGCTTTATGTATGGACTAGACTCAATTACTTATAATAATAGTAGACCTTTCATACGATATTGCAAAGAAACGTAGTTTCAAGCTTGTTACGGTCGAAGATGTGAATTTACAGTATTGGGTCTCGAGGCTTGTTACTGACTTCCTCGCTCTCTTCTCGAATTTCCCTCCTGTCTACCTTATGTCTTTTTACTCGAAACTATGCGGCAAAGATAAATTATTGTCAACAATCCTGAAACACTTGAAAATTTAGATGCTTTCAACGTAATTAATTAGGAGGCCTTCGTTCAGTAACAAGTCTTCGAGTCGTTCGCGAAATTCGTCCTGCGTCGCAAAAAGCCGATCAGCGGACTGGAATGTTTTACAAAGAATCATAGCAAAATAGTTTCGTATATTGTATAACACTACAACGAGACATGAAGTAGGTAAAGTTACGGAATAAATTGTAGTTTGAAGGTTTGCAAAAGAACGCACGGATCCGAAGGAAAAAAGAGGATTTCGCCGGTGAAAACCGTCATTCATAAAATTTCGAACGTTTCTCTCTATCGGCAAATAATACAATATATATATCTTTATGTATACATATATATCTGTTTGTATATATATATATATCAAGATTGCAACCGAGAAGGGGTGCACACGAGAGAAGGGTGACACGGTTCCTCTCGTTCCCCTGTTCGTTCTGATATGTGTACGCAAAATAAAATCACGTTTTTTATTTTCTCTTCGCTTTTTCGTTTTATGAAAAATTTTCCTGGTCTCTGTTGTATATTGATTTGATACTACGGGAAGTCGGTCGAGACTTCCAGTCCCCGAGCCACTTCCCACCCCCCCACGTTCCTCGTTACATTCGCGAAATGAAATAGTATACATCTAAAATTATGGAAGGCTCGCCTAGCTTCGCTAAGCGTCGATTTACGCGCGTGTACATAAATATAGCCATATAAATTAATTAAGTACAAAAATTACAAACTTATTAACAAAAACATTGGCAAGACTGAGGTTCCAGCCGAATCGAGAGTGTCCTCCACCGTTTTACTCCTCGCCTTGGCCCGTTCAACGGAATACGCAACGATGTCTTTGACGTTCGATAGGAATCGAATTAGTTTAGAGTGTGCTCTAAACGAATAGCGGGTGAAACGTACGTAAAATGTGTACGAGCGTACATGATATTAATGCGTTAATACTTTGGTCCATCTAGTCAGAGTTCGGAATGCGAAATAGAATGTTTCTCGAAGACATAATTCGATTCCTCGGTAGAAAGTGAGATATGCATACGTCGTCTAAATTCCTTGGACTGTTATCGGATAACGTTTTCAATTTTACCTAAACGAATCTGAAGTGTCTTTTAGAAAAATTGCCACGCTTTAAATTACTTAACACATATCACAGAATCATGTGTACTCCATTTAAAAGATAATTACACTCAATGACACGATTAAACCCTCGCAAAGTCCCACTCTCTCTCTCTCTCTCTCTCTCTCTCTCTTCCTCTTGAGAATATTCCACAATCTCATTATCGATTAGGCCGGACCGCAAAGGGTTAACAACGAAAGAAGAAAGTAACGATATAGTACGTACAGTACACGATCACACAATATTACGAAGGGCCTAATTAAAAACTAAATTCCGTTGTGTGTTGCGTTTCACGTAATTCGATTGAGGTGATTCGTTTATTTTGTGCTCCCCAATAGATTCCGGAGTTACTTCCTTTCCTATTCAGATGGTAGAGAGTGCGAGCGTGTCTCTTTGTTGAAAATTATTACGATTTTCGTGAAAGGCAGAGATCATGTGTTTTAATAATTACAGGAGATAGAGGATACTTGTAAGAAAGGATGCGATCAGAGAATTCAAAGAGACACGCCAGCTACGCTCCGAGTGATATGTTAACGTTAGGAAACATACCGGAACTTTCCTGATAAACGTCGATACTCACCATGAATTCTCTTCCGCTAGATTTTGTTCGACGTACTTTTGCGACGGTCCACGTGGTTGCACGATCGACGAACTAGATCCTCGGAGAACTCTCGTGTTAACTTAACAATATTACGAACGAATGAACGTAATTCAGACGTACATGCACGTACGCCGGGCATTAACTGTAATGAGTATGTTATGTTACAACAGTATACGGGAACACTCTTTAACCGGTATTATCTGTATGGTACAGTCGCGCGTTTTGTGATCGGTATTGATGGAACAGTCCCTTTGGAGATACCTGGAACAGTAATATATATTTTCCATTAAATATTATTATTCAGTAATTTAAAATATATCAATGAGAAAATGTAATTGAGTTATTATTCAATTTACCTTGATCACTAAAACGAAGCGATGCCGAGGTCACCAAGAGACTATTGGTTGAGCAGGGTGTTAGTCACCTCAGAGATGGACAGCAAAGGACTCCCGGCGTCCGGTTTGGAATCTGAGGGACAGTTGGGCCCATTCCCGGCGCTGATGATCCCACCGCGTGCTGATGCTGAGGGTGGTGGTGGTGCGGAGGGTGGTATAAGACGTTGCTGTTGCTGGTGTTGCTGTCCGACCCGATGCCCATGCCGACTCCCGTCCCCGTTCCCACAGCTGACGGGGGCGTGCTGCAACCGAATGTGTGCGTTCCCCGTTATTCGCGACCCTTTTACAAAAATCTTCGTACCTATATATATTTCTTATTCAATTCATATAGTTGAAAACTATTTTCGTTAAATAATTTCACTCTCTAAGTGCAGAAATCAAATCAAATCATAGATTACGAGGTTGGCGAAAAAAAAAGAAAGAATGCCACGCGACGTAATGAAAACGTGGACATGCAGATTATGACTGAACTGATAATACTGCGGTATACATTTAAAAGAAGAAGTTCGTGCATTAATCGTAACGTGCACGCCCAACAGTAAAATATCAAAGGTATTTCGATCGTATCTTAATTTCGGTTTTATCTTTGCGTAATAAATTTTCTCGTAAAATTTCTATTCAACCTCTCGAGGGTAGCTCGAATGCAAAAGGAAATCGAACACACGAGACTGGAAATACTTTATCACGCGAACCTCTTGAACAAATCTGAAAATACTCCGGACACCCTAGAGGGGTTAATCACGATCGTTCGTAAAAAAGTTATCTTTAAAAATTTGTGAGGCAGCAGTGACACTCACTGGGGCGCGTGCCTTGGTGGTGCGGGGTGGTGATGGTGGTAGGGATAGTACTGGTAGTGGTGGTGGTGTTGCACTCCTTGCCATACCTCGGAGCCCGTTTCCCCGTGGCCATGGCCTGGATGCGAGTGCGCGTATCCGATAGTGCTCGCGGCCGCGGCCGCAGCTGCAGCTGCAGCAGCAGCCGCCGCCTGATACTGCGAAGTGGCAACCGGATACTGTTGGTGTTGTTGTTGTTGCTGCTGCTGCTGCTGCTGGGGTTGCTGTTGTTGATGGTGCTGATGAGCTTGCTGTTGCGACGCCTTGATTCTCGGCGAGCTGGGTGCCGTCGTTTGTTGATCACTGGGAGACGTCTGCCTCCACTTGCACTCGCCGTTCATAGAATTCATCTCCGCCAGAGATTTCAAGGGATCGCCGGCGTTGGTCGAATGAGTGGACGAGTGAGTAGAATGTGGCGTGGGTGGACTGTAGCTCCCGTTGTTCCTCGGCGGAGTGCGAGCCGGTGGTGCGCCCCACATAAGAACCGTTTGTCGGGGCGCCTCGTTCCCGTAAACTTCCGGTTTCACGTCCTCTATTTTGGGGGTGAGCACGCCGTTCGTCGGTCCCGTCACAGGTGAACTTCCGGCGGAATTGCTGGAAGAGGCTCCACCCTCTAAGGAATGTCGACTGCCGGCGCGGACGATGTTAATGTCAGCCGTCGCGGTGTGCATCGCTGACGCGCTTGCGACGGGACTGGCCGCGTACGGTGAACCGCTTACACTACTCGGATGTCTGGCTTCGACGTAACTGTACTTGGGCGACTCGCCTAATTGTTGGCAATATAGTTTGTCCTCAGCTTTGCTTGTTAGTTGGTGGGTCTCGTAGGTCGGCAGCGGGACGTCTATAAAGCCGTTGTACGCGGTGCTCGTGTGATACTCGGGGTAATAGGAACCGAGAGGCCTGTATTGGAATAGATTCTCTGTTGCTGCCGTGAGATACCTAAAACAACGATCAAGAAAAAAACGTGGCTTATATAATAAAAATTATTAAAAAACAATTCTGTTTTTAATTAATATTTATGTATAATTTAATAATTATTATAGTTATATCCGAAAGTGCTATAAATCAATACAAGATCTTTTATCTTCATCGATATGAAACCCACCTATTGTCCAACGCGGTCGCCGGGTACAATGTCTGATGATAGTTGCCCGTGTGGCCGATGTAGGTAGTCAACGAAGGGTCCGTACTCGCAGCGACTGCCGTAGGTGCATAAGCAGTCGGGTACATCGTGTTCAGGTTGCTGTACGCCGCTGCGACGGCAGCTGCAGCGCTGGTGTCCGCGGTGAGGTAGTCGACGGACGCGACCGTGGGTGTCACAGGCGGTGAAACGGACGATTGCGCGGCGAGTTTCGTGCGTTTGTTCCGACAAGTCGACAGGAAGTCTCTCAACTGCGTCTTGTACCGCCTATTCACTCTCTGAGACGTCTGTTGGTTCTGCAGCGTCGGCGTCATCACGGAACCACTGAGGTTGTCGCTGTCCGAAAAGTAGCTGTTGGTCAAACCAGCGTCCAGATAGCTAACTTTGAAGTCCATCGTTCGTTTCCCGAGAAGGTCCCTGCCCTCTTCTTCCCTGGAAAAAAAATTTTTAATCGATACGATTAGAATACTATTTCTATTTATTGGAAATTAAATGCAGTTATTTACATGAGGGGTCGATGTGTGCTGATTACGAAGTCAGGTTTCGAGTTTTTGTACACTAATCTGGAGCTAGTTTGCAACCATTGCCAGCCACCATCCTTCTTTTGAAATCTGTACGCTATCATGCCCGATGCACCGGTCTTTAAAACTGTAAAACGAACGAAGATTGTCTCAAACTGTATCTAAAATAAATCACATGAACCTTCTAAAAGAATTTGTAGAAATGTACTTACGTTCTTGATGCGCACTCGCGACGTAAGCCAGGTCGTCATAGTGGACTAGATCATAGCCGCCCAGATTCGCGAGCTCCGCATCGGAGTACCCTAATAACATTTTCCCCCGTTGATCCATGGACACGAGTGCCAGATCCAGTTTGTGCTTGCTCTTAAACATCACATCCTTTTGCGGAACCTCTAACAACGAGGGTGGTCCGAACGGCGTGCACAGAGCGAACAGAGCCAACGGTGGTTCCTCTGTCTTCCTATTTTGGCCATGGAGTATCTTCACTCGTCCCCTGATGTCCAGACGCTGGACAAGTTCGAATAATGAGAAATCAAGGTGATTAATAAAATCATTTACAATTTTTTATATTTATTACATTTATTTCGTAAGAACGAAAATAAACATAAATCAAAGCGTGAACAAAACGAAATCCTTTGGCGCGCCGCAGCCCGACAAAACACTAATTGTCTTACATCCGACGAATACAGGAGGCATACCTGTACGGGACAAACAGTGTCCAAGAGTTATAGCAACAAAACCAAAAGGTATCGCGCAAAAAAGGCGGCCGGTGTGACGTTTATGAAAATGAAACCGTAATCGTAAAAGGTTTACGACGAAAAGGATATCGTCGTACGTACGTGTGTACAAGATTGAGTTCTCTGTTTTTACCGAAATCCGTGCGAAATTATCATTCCAATTATGGAGAGAATGGAATTTCTGTTTGAATAGTCGCGTCGAATGATGTATAAATGTGTAGATAGCCCGGAGCGGCATGGGGGAAAAACGTCGCAGCAATTTCAGCCGCAAGACGCCGGAGAAAAAGCGCGCGGTAATTACGGGCGAACAGGGGAGAGAGGTTCTGACCTCCCCTCCTTCACAATTAAGTCCATTATCGTGTGCCGCGGGGTTAAGTGCAGTTCTCACTGGCGATTATGAAAATTTGATGCCGTAAAAATCGGATCGATAGCCACCGGTACGTTCCTCCGGGTTGAAACTTCTTTCGAAGGGTGAAAACGAGAATGCTTTTCATCGCGTATAATGAAAGTATTCCTTGAGCACTGGTCAACGGATCATCCCTGTTCGCGTGACCGTGAGGGTTTCGATGAATGAACTGGAATTACGGTGTGTGGTACTTTAATGAACGTGGGACGAAACATGCAAGATACGCACGCTTCTCTCTCGAGGATTCATATTTTCTGGTAAAAGTGAAAATCGAAAAATGGAAACAGACTCACCAAGAAGCCGGATGTGTTGTCGAGGAGACACCGGAAACGGACGGTGAAGCTTCGCTCGAGAAAATGACTGTGCTGAGGTGAAAGGGCGTCGTGCAAGGGGAGACTGGCACTGTCCGCGGGCAGAAAGGAGTTCCACATCAGCTGCCTTTGAAGTTCCTCCCGATCCTCGCTGTGGACCAGCTCGTAGACGCTTTGATGGACGATATCGGACTGGAACAAGCATGATGATTATGAAAACTCGCGGGGGAGGAATTCACAGAACCCGGTGAAAATTTTGTTAAACCCGAACACGAAAGCAGAGTGGCGCAGTGGAAGCGTGCTGGGCCCATAACCCAGAGGTCCGTGGATCGAAACCATGCTCTGCTAAGGGTTGTAATATTTTTG